AAAGCTGCGGGAAATGGAGGAAGAACTGAAGTACGCTCCTCTGCCTTTCCGCAACCAAATGATGAGCAAAATCCGGGCGTACAGAAGAGACCTCTCCATGTTCCAGAGAGAGATGAGAAGCACAGATTTGGGATTGGGCCCTGGAAGTCATGGCGATATAAAATACGGAATCTTCTCCACAGAAAATGAACAGAGTGTGAGAATTAGATATAAATTTTATTTAACATTGCTGTGATTGTTTAAAGACAGTATTCCAGATGTGTTGTTTACAGTGTTTCTACTTTAATCCACTTAGCTTCCCTGCTTGTGTAGCTCCCTGTATATGTAACATGAGTATCTCAGGGAGGGGAAAAAACACCCAGAACTCAAAGGAGAGCTTTTTGTTGTAAAACAGAGATATGAATATAATCAAAATGGAACTCCTTGAATGCCATGCAGTTAGTAATTTACACAACGTTCTGTACTGAAATGCTTTATTTAATCATTGCCCTACAGCAGTGAAAACACAAAAGTGATGCTACTGACTGAGAAGAGAGGTCAACTGATCTAGTTTTTAGTCTCCAAAACTAGCAAAGTGTGTGAATCATGCACTGTATAGGTTCCTTGGTAGAATTATCTTTTTAAGCAATCTCAGTGGAAATAATTTCAAGGACATATAAAAGTCATCCTCTAGCACTTTGTTCACTATGGATGTGCTGCTGCAGTGGAAGAAATACACCAATTTCGTTGTTTACCAGATACACTTAGATACATATATCTGAGCTAGTGAGTCTGAATCCGCTTATTATCTTCAAAACGCTGTCATCTGTACAGAAAGTTCGTGGAGGCTGGCTTTTTGTTTGTCTTCCTTAGATAAGGAAAGTTTGAGGGAGGCTCTTTCCTTAGTATCTTGTTCTGCACTAGCTTGGTAAATTTTTGTGTTTGATTCCTCTTGATTGGTTCCTCTAAAACCTGAGAGCAGGGTGGTAGATTAGACATTCTGAAGCTTAAGAAAATACTTTATTTTGAGCCACCTTTTGGCCCCAAGGTCAGCAAACATTTCTTATCCTCTAGCTGAGGCTGCTGGCATGAAAAGAGGATCTTTGTTACTTAGCAGTCCATCTGTTAGCGCTGTTTGTTCCTAATCCTTTTGACTGTAAGCTCTTAATGATTTCCCTGGCAACCAACTGTGAAATCACAAATAAGACTATAGATACCAATGGAAGGACAAGTTAGCACCTGGAAAGCAAAGAGATTGTTTTCGTGTAAATGTTCTTTGATGGAAAAGTAGATTGTTGCAAAGACGGTTTTTGGTAACTGTGTTAACTCTTTAGCTGTGCGTCCTTCTTTTTCAAGGTTCAACCAGATTTGGCCATAATCTTACAATGTGAACAAGAACTCTTTCAAAATTAACTGGGCTGCATCAGTTAACATAAGAAGCATGTACAGCTAATACAAATGGATGGCCTACGGAGTCACGTCCTAACTTTTTAATATGTCAGAAGCCTAATACCTCTGCCTTTGTGCTTAATAGTTAAGCATATGTTATTTTTCAGACTAATCTGCAGTCACAGAGGGTGCTGCTTCTCCAGGGAACAGACAGCCTGAACCGAGCCAGTCAGAGCATTGAGCGTTCGCACCGAATTGCTGCCGAAACAGATCAGATCGGCACCGATATAATTGAAGAACTTGGGGAGCAACGGGAGCAGCTGGAACGCACCAAGAGCAGAGTAAGCAGAGAAACCGTGGGCATTGTAGTAAAACAACTTGATGTTAGCTTGGTGGAAACTCTATGCCAGTAATGACTCTTGGAGACCTCCCTAGACGTGGTACTCCAATCTACGTTTCTGCAGACCAGATCCAGGCTGCCATGTTTCTATGCTGCACTCATAAAAGGAAAATAATTACTGTAGAAGGGCCCAAAGGGTAATGGCCAAATGTCTGCTGCTGTGTCTGTGCAAGATCGGATAGTAGAGCTATAAACTTGCTAAAAACAAATAGCATTACTGAAAAAATTACAGATTTTAAAAAAATGCTAAGGAGTAGCCCACCACTAGGTTACTAGTAAAGGTTTAGATTTGAGAGTCAGTTAGCACGTTCTTCTAATGAAATGAAATTTAATAGAAGCTTGGTTATGTAGTAACTAACCTTCCAATATTTATAGGTTAGCTAAGGAGGGAAAGTGGTGTCAGACAAGATGCTTGTTCTTCATCCTTGGGTCAAGGAACTCTGCTTCTACTGTGATAGCTTTAAAAAGTAGTTAATTATTTGTTTTGTTTACACACATTTACAAACCTGGTAATTCGATTTTTGAATTAACAAACTGATGGGATTTTCTGTGTGTACAAGGGATCCTCAGTGTAAAGCTTTTAGGTGAGTGACTTGCAGGGGCGCACCAAGTTTGGCAAGTAAGCATGCTCAGCCAAAATAAAAACCAAACCCCTTTTCTTGGGAGTTACCTCTACTCGTTGCAAAAAAGCCTGTAGCTTTTTCATTTAAGTAACTTTTTGATTTCAGTCAGAATTTGATTTGCCCTGCTCCCAAATTTGGGTTGAAAAGCAGGAAAGAAAATGTGATCTTAAGGTTTGTAGGTATAGTTTTTTTGTCTGTTGTTTTTCTAATTAAAAATATTGCAGTCCTTCAAGCACGTCAGTCTGTCCAGAGATTGTTCACGAAGCTGTGACATCTGTTGTGAACCTCTTAGGCATTGTATTGCTGCATTGCATTACCCATACATTCCAACTGGAAGCAAAGATGGGAAATCTAGTATGTTTTGAATGGACTTGGTAGTTTTCTTCCCAGCTTGGTCCAGTCCGTCTCAGTGTAAAAAGTAATGTACCTATGGAGCCAGTTGAAGGCAGTGGCTTAAACTACAGAGGAATTGTGCAGGCAGGTGTCTGTGGTGGTAGGTGACCTGGCTTACCTTCTGCTTCCCTTGGAGCTTTGGAAGTGGAATAGCGAAATCTTACCTGGAGACCTCCAGTGGCCGTACATCGTGAATCCTGACTCTGTGAGACAACAGCTTTTTTAGTTGTCAGTAACCTCACTTAATTACGTGCTGCTTAATAGCTGACTGAGAAATACCTGACAGATTATTTCTGAGCATTATAAAGCAGAAATAGATTATCTGTTAACAGTCCAGAGCTCATACCCACTGGGACACTTACTTAGACCTGTCAGTGCAACACAGTTTGTTCTTTGCTAGAAACTGAACAGCATTTCAAAGGGTTCCAGATGTGTGCTGGGGAGTGTCAACACATCGGTATCATTTTCTTCTGGTGTCAACAACTAGAATAATGAAATTTAATGAAAGGAGCTACTACCAACTTTCTGATACTTGTAGATTAACTAACTAAAGAGCCAGAAAGTGATCCTAAATTGCCTATCTTTGTATGTAACTACGGCAAAGTAAATATGGAAGTTCTTTCCTCCTTAGAAAGGAGACAATGCTTCCAGCTTGTACTGTGTGTGGAGAACAATGTTGTCTGAATTTTCAGAATATATGATTAGCCTTGGTCCCATTATTAATTGTAACATTTCAACACCATTTCAACATCTTTACAGAGTTGCTGTATACTTGTTCAACTGTGATATCACTTTTGTTTCTTCTTAGTTGGTGAATACAAGTGAGAACTTGAGCAAGAGTCGCAAGATTCTACGTTCTATGTCCAGGAGGTGAGTAGGTGACTGACCTTAGAGCAGCACTCGGCAGGTAGCGTTGTTGCTGGCAGGTTTCGGGCAAAATAATAAAGAATAGGGTGTCAGCTGGAACTGCAGGGAGGTTTAGGGAATTTTTAAACAGACTGTGTGCCCCTGCACAGACCCTGATTTGGGTTTTCTCCTCCCTGGTAATTACTTAATGAGTACAGGCAGTTGAACACTACTGAAGTTGTGCTGCTCGTTTAGGGTAATACAGGGCTTTAACCATCCCGCATGGTCAGCTGTGGTGAGGACGTAAGCGCAAGTTACAGTGAATTGCTAATAGTAACTTTAGACGCAACTCCTTGTTACTCAGGTTGGAAAAAGCTGTGCCACAAATCACTGCAGCATTAAGTGAGTTAGATGTCTGATGACACAGACAAATCTGGTTAGCCCATAGTAATACCCTAGAGTGAGCAGCCCGATTGTCATATGAGAAACTCTGAGCCTGACCGTACACTATTTTGATGACTAAAGTCTTGGCTGCTTAAGTGTATTTACAGGTTCTTAACGATGTGGTTTAATTATCCTTGTAAACCAGTTCATGAAGGATATTGCCAGTAGGTACTTGGGGCCTAACAGCTTTTCCTTTATGCCCGTTGCTAAAGGAAGTTATGATAACTAACTCAATTTTCAGGAGTAAAAGTACATCATTCTTTTGGGATTTGATAGTTTTACCTCAATGACAAAGTTCTAAGAAAAAGCACCACAACATGGGTTTTAGCACAGGAGTTCAATTGATATTGTCCTCTTGGCTTAGTTGAATGAGTAGGCACACATAGAGCAGAATGATCTGCCTTATGCAGGGTGGGAGGAGAGCAACAGAACTGCTACTCTTGAAGCAGAATTTCCAGGAAAATGTGAGTAGGAAACTACTGAGTTTGTCCCTTCCTGCTTGTTAAGAGCTATTGAATAGCACTTTGGGGTTGAACTGAAACAGGGACTATACTTATTGAAATTATCAAATTGTCTAGAATCTGCTTAAATAATCACAGGGGAATAAAGCTATCTTGGATTTCAATTTTTTTTATTTTTTAACTCTAGAGTAACCACTAATAAGTTGTTGCTGTCAATTATCATCATCCTGGAACTAATCATCCTAGGAGGTGTGATCTACTACAAGTTCTTTCGCAGCAGATGAATCTTCATGACCAAGATGAGCTTTTCCACTGCTGAGGAACTGGAGGGGCTGTCTGTTCCCTTTGACTGCCTGAGGATTGAACTGTCTCCTGAGACAGCATGTTCAGCTGAAACTGTACTGACACTAGAAAGACACAGAATGGGAGTAGAAGGAAAATGCAGAGGCAGACTTGAACCACTGGTAAGATTAATAAGAAGGTAATAAATATTTTATTGTCTCAATTTGTATATACTTAACTAAATGAATAAATTTTGGTATGTAATAAAGTAGCCACCGATCAGTGGAAAAGCTAGTTTATTTAAAAATTGAGAAGTTAACAGTATTTGCCAAGTGTTGACTATCAACTCAGGTGCCTCAGCAGAGCTCTATAATGTCCAGTGTACGCAACAGGTTGGGTTCTTAAATCCTCACTTGCTCTTCACTGTCAGATTCGTCTGGAGAACTGGGTGTTGGGAGTTCATCAAAAGCAGTGTGTGCTCCTTCCCTTGTCTGCCCAAAGCATGTTGCTATCACGTCCACTGCAAGACTAGCAGTTGCATTCACTTCCTCTTGAGAAGCTCCAAGCAGTGGATTGACTTCAACCATGTCTACGGCTGAAAGCATTCCTGTGAAAATGAGTTACAGCTTTGTTAGCATGAAAAAGGGTAAAGCCTCTAGCAGGGTTTCTTTTGTGGCCTCTCATTCATTGCAGCAAGGCTGATATTTGAGCTTGTGACCTACTCTACCTCTTAGACAAGTAAAATTGGCTCTCAAGTGAGGGAGGAGGTTATCATTCTTAGGTGCAAGTTTGTGGTTTTAATTTGGTTCTTTCTTACATTGTCACTACCTCACTCATTCATGCTTTTAGCATTCAGGAAAAATAAGTTTGATGTTCCATATATGCTTATGACAGGAATGGTTTTTACGAAAGGACTGGTTTGTTAAGCTTGTTTTCTTCCAGTCCAAAAATTAGGGGATATAAAATAGTCTCACTTAGTATTTTTTGTCATCCTCTTCAGGATTCTATTGAATCTGTTGTCTAGGTGGTATCTTTTTCCATTCTTTTACTGCAAATAACTCATTGTTTAAACACATTAAATAAAATCTCCATGGCATAAGGAGGTAAGTCCTCATATATTGAGTCAACTTCAGTATACTTAGGGAAAGCTCAATTTGTTAGACTTCAATCTTAGAATGGAACTTCAGACTGTTTAAAATTGTTTGCATCTTTTTTTTTTTTATTCTAGATGCCCATTTTTACATCTCCCCTCATGTGTCTAGGAATAGGGGACAGTATTGTACAAGATAACCAAGTAATTTTTGGCATCAGTTGTTAATATATTACGTATTTCATTTACTTTTGGTAAGTTGTTGATGGTTAAGCTGCTTCTGACATGTGCAGTATTGCCCAACCATAAGACTTTTTTCCCTTCCTGAAGGTTGAATTGACTTTGTAGGCACTTTAGCTTTGACTACATTTATTAGCTACTTACACAGGAAAAACATAACTAATATATAGTTTGTCCTGTCCTCGCTTAGGCCCAGTACTGCTGGTTAACTCCTACCTGTGTTGTGTATTTCCTCCGTGATGTACATGCCTTCTCTGTAAGTTAATCCACCTAGAACAGGAGTCCCAGTTGCTGGAGCCAGTGAAGGATCAAAAGCATCAATGTCAAAACTCAGGTGAATTGGTCTCTGTCTCCTGAGACAGAATAAAACAAGAAAAGCAATCTCAGAACCTTAAACTTTTTCTACATGTACTTCCTACTGTCCAGGCTGATCAGTGAAGTAGCAGCATGCTCCGTGATGTTAAAGGTCCCCCTTAAGTCCTATACCATGTCTTATATGCACTTGGAAAGGATTTTTTTTTTTTTTAATTTTTACATCTGTGGACTCTGAAACATCTCTTTCCCCAGTACACATCAGGAAAACAGAAGTTTGTCTTCTAGTTTCACTGAGCAGCCACTCAGGGTGCGATTTGGCTGAAGAGAAGTACTTTAGTTCTAACCATCATATCTGGTATTTGTCTCCTTAGTTGGAAAAACGTAGATAAATGTATGATATAATCCAGCCTTTTCTCCTTTTGTACAGAAGGCCAGGGTGAAAGGCTGAAACATTGATTTGCATGGCATCTAGGATGAAGGAAGCATGACGCTTGAGGATTTCATAGACAGCTCATCAAGATGACTGGGGCATTCTCCATTTTTCAGGTCAATAGTTGAAGGTTGCCTCCAAACTCTGCTATGTAAGCCTAGTTGATAAAAAAGTGAAGGATAATCTCAAACCTAAAACGTTAGTTAGTTACTACATGAAGTCTGGCAGCTGTCACTCAGATGACCTATTTAAGTGGTAGACTTGTACTTCCAACTAACTGCAGGTGCTCAGTCAGGAGAAACATCTGGATTAGCAACTTCTTTACTTGGCCCAGCTGCAGCCAGGAAGGGTGAGCACACGTTTAGATACAACAGCATGCAGCACAGACACCCAGACCATGTTCTGCTCACAGGACTTGGTTCTACCCTGTGGTGAGCTGTTACCCTTTCTAACCCTGATGCTCTCCCTGTAATCCCAGACTAGCACTGATTTGCTCCCTGATCTGGTTCCCCAAACCTCAGCAAGGTTAGCAAAGATGTCAGTGTTGAACTTAAGTAAGAGTGGGTGCAGTGAACTGAAAGTAGCAGTTGTGGTCAGGACAGCATTCTGATGCTTCTGTCTCATGTACTAACAGCTGAATTCAAGTTACTGTCAAGCTGCTATATATGTTTTTAAAAGTATAATGTACACCCTAGACTTTGAGTTGATTCAAACACCTTGTCAAACTGCAGAATTCCTCAAGAAACAGAACAAATCATGTAAAACAGCTACAACTGTAGAAACTAATGTAACTCTTTGGTTTTTTACTGAACACTGTGAAATGGTTCCAGTTCAAGATGTGAAAGTCGAGGACTAAAGTCAGTGGTAAGACTTTACTGAGCAGTGTCACAGTTCTGTTAGGCTGCCTCACAGCGACACTGATATCCATTTAACTTCCAGGAAAGTAGACAGTCAACAAGTGGATGGTAAGATTATCAGATAGTAGTTTGTTACCTGCCCATCAGTTGTTCAAATGTTCTTTCCATAACTTTCTGAATTCCAAGGCGATCAATATCCCTCATGGAAAAATACTGGATGTCGTAGTTCTTCAAAATATAGCTGTTAAAATAAAATTTTTGAAAAAAATCACTATTGGCCTAAAGCTAAATCTAGCAACCCTTGTGACCAGCCAGATGTGGAAAGGAGTTAATGATTTCAGCCTTCACAAAAATCCTTTAATCTAAATCAACTTACTATTCAGCA